CCCTCCCAGCTGCCCACCCTCTGGCCCAGACACAGTCTCCTGCATGCAAGGATCTCCTGGAAGGGGGCAGCAGGACGTCAGGCTCTGCCCCAACCTGCCTCATGACCGTGGGGAAGTCTCAGGCTACCCTCAGCGTCCTCATCTATAAAATTGGGGTGGGGTTGCCTTTGCAGAGAGCTAAGATCTGGGTCAAGTGTGGACATGCCTGTCACTGGCTGGAGGGGCCTCTACAGGCCCATGAGTCCTCGAGTCCTCAGACTCGATCCTGGTGGCAGCACCCCGGCCCCAGGCAAGGGCCGCCTTCGGTCCCACCCGCTGAGAGCAGCCTGAGCACAGCACCCAGGCCCCTCCCCCAGAGCTGGAGGCAGAGATGTGGGGAGGGGTAGCAGCCACAGTCTTTGCCAAGCACAAGGCCCTGGCTCTGGTCCCATGCCAGCCCTGGGTAGCCCAGTGAGGAGGGGCTCATCCAAAGGAGCTGAGCAGCCTTCAGTCTAGGCTACACTGGCTTCTGCATCTGACTCTTCACATCCCCAGAGAGGTGAAACCACTCACCTCAGGCCACACAGCCACCCCTTCATTGCTGCCCAATCCTCCAAGCTACTCTGATCTCAACTCAGACCCATGTACACCTCTGATGCCACGAGCAGCACTAGTGCTTACTGCAGTAGCATTTACCCTGGCGACACTGCTATTACCCCATTATAAACACGGAGAGCCTGGGGCCCAGAGAAGGAGGACAGGGGATTTGAACCTGATCCATCTGAGGTCCAGGGGCCACACTCTTAACCACTGCCTCTCCTGCCTCCCCCCAGTCAACTGCTGCTTTGCTGTGTGGCTGGGCCTCAGTGTTCCCCTCTCTGCGATGGGGTGAGCAGTGGACACCCTGTCAGTCTCCAGAACACTCCCTGGAAGTGACTCAAGGTGGCCAAGTTCCCTGCAACTGGCTGACTCTGCTAGGGCCTCTCCATCCATCGCCCACCTCACATCCCTCCCCGCCACTACCCAGGCCCCAGGCCCCGAACTCACACAGGCTGTGTGCACTGCCTCTCAGCGGTCTGCACACCCACACCGCAGCTCCGTGAGCAGACAGACCAGGCGCTCCAGCCTGACCAGCCACCGTCCACGGCCTCAGGCCGGAAGCTCACAGGGACGCACTCTCCATTGAGACACCACTAGCAAGACAGGGAGGGAAAGACCCCCACCAAGCCCATCAGTCATCCTCACCCTGGCGAGAACTAGGTAGGTGGGAAGACCCTGACAGGCACAGAAGGGAAGGCTGGAAGGAATGCGGGATGCTCCCCTGCAGATGCCCGTCATCCCCGGCCCAGAGTGCTCAGTGGAGCAGAGCACGGAAATACAGTCGCGTGGTGACTGAGTGTGGCCACAGAGAGCTGGGTCTGCTGAGGGCACACGTGACACTGTAAGCTAAAGCTGACCCCAGGGCAGGCCACCACAGGAAGTCTGGCCTCTCTCAAACTGCCCCCACGGCTGGGGCTGGGATGTCCCTACCTGGCTCTCCCCACACTTGGTGCCATCCACGGCTGCGTCCAGCTTGGAGTGACAGGTGGTCCCCACGGAGCACCAGAGTGTGTGGCAGACGTTCTGCAAGGAGGAAGACATGGGCCATATCCTTACCTCCTTCTCAGGGCTGCCATCTGCTCTGCCTACTCCCTGTCTCCAAGGGTCCCCTTGCCACCTTCCACATGGTGGGGGTCTGCAGACGTGAGGACCCCCAGGGACCCCCTCTTAGCTTTTGTATCTGCGCCCACTTCCCACCCCCCTCTCTGGAGCATGCGGTGTTGAGGGAGGCCCTGGGCTGGGCCCCAAGACTCAGGTGAGCTGCTTGGAGAAGCCCTGAGTGTCCACATCAGTCCCAGCTCAGCTCACCCTCTGGAAGGTCTCCTGTGAGAAGGTGACTCCAGGTGACCTTCTCCAGGATCCCACAGTGCAGGGCTTATTTTCCCTCTTAGAAGCCAGCTCCAGGGAGGTTGCAGGACTTGCCCAAAGCCCACCACTGGTAAACGGTTGACCCAGAACTCAGACCTGGGGCTGAGGTCAGCCACCCCACATCTCCCGCAGGTCACTTGATGTCTCACGCAGGGGCTGAGCCCCGGCCAGGCAGGCTCCTCTCAGGTTGGTGAGGGCTGTTCCACACCCCCAGGCCCACACGCGCCCCCTACACGCCCCACTCACATCCATGTCATCACAGAAGGCGGAGTAGGGCCCGTACTGCAGGCGGCACTGGTGGTTCACGTCATAGAGGACGCCAGGGAGCACAGAGGGGAAGTCGATGACATCCTTGCCAGGACGGTCGTCCAGGCATAGGCCCCACCCACGGCTGCAGAGGCGGGACAGGAGGCGGGGGTGAGGGGGACAGGCTGTGAGGCTCACCAGGGAGGCCTCAGTGGGGCCCGGAGGGTAGGAGAGGTGAGAACGGGCACAAAGATCTAACTGATAGCGAAACTCTGCTGGGTGCTGTGGCTCGCAACTGCAATCCCAACAGTTTGGGAGGCTGAGGCAGGAAAATTGCTTGAGCCCAGGAGTTTGAGACCAGCCTAGGCAACATAGCGAGACCTCGTCTCTACCAAGAAAAGCCAAAAATTAGCCAGGTGTGATGGCGCACACCTGTAGTCCCAACTACTCGGGGGGGCTGAGGCAGAAGGATCACCTGAGCCCAGGAAGTCGAGGCTGCGGTGAGCCGATCATGCCACTGCACTCCGGCTGGGTGACAGAGTGAGATTCTGACTCAAAACCCAAAAATCCTCCAACCTCCCCCACGTGACTCAGCAGATCTTCCACTCCCAGCCTAGCGGTAGAGGCCCTCTGGCCTTTCTCACCCCATCTCCTGGGCACTCCGGCCAGCTGGACAGCCCATCCCCCACCCAGGCCTTAGCACAAGCTGCGGCCTCCACCCTCCTTCTCCTGCTGAAGCCTCTCCCCAAGATGCAGCCCTCACACGGCCCTGCCCTCAGTCCTGCAGCCTCCGCCTCCTAGCCAGAACCTGGAGCCAGGCCAGACAGGATCTGGAGCACGTCACCTCACAGCTGATACAACAGAGCCTCCGATGCCCCGCCGGGGCAGAGGCCTAGAGTCATCTGTGGACGGATGCGGTCCCGGAACAGGCCCTGCCCTGGAAAGAGCTGGAGACCCCTATCCCCTCGCCTCTGTCACATCCTTATCTACTCTGCCTTCCTCGAGCCGGCATTCCTGGCAGCAGCAGGGAACTGGGCAGACCCGGCCAGACACAGCCTGTGCCCGTCACAAACTCCTGCTGGCATGGTGTCGTGAAGAGGAGACTGCCCATACAGCTCCACAGGGCAGGGAGCAAGGAGGCAGAGGGTCCTGGGGAGGATGGCCCAGGCCCGGCTGGCACCGCTTATGCCACTGCCTCCCTCTGCTTAGGAACATGAGTGCCCTAGTGACCTGACCTGCCCAGGCTCCCTGTTGTCCTGGAAGAATTATTTTATTTTATTTTATTTTGAGTTAGGGTCTCACTCTGTCACCCAGGCTGGAGTGCAGTGGCATGACCACGGCTTGCTGCAGCCTCAACCTCCTGGGCTCCAGTGATCCTCCTGTGTCAACCTCCCACATAGCTGGGACTACAGACGCATGTCCCTGTGCCCGGCTAATTTCTGGATTTTTTTTCACTATGTTGCCCAGGCTGGTCTCGAACTCCTGGGCTCAAGCAACCTTTGGCTTGTACCCCTCATTCGCTCCTCATAACATCCGAGGCAAAAGATTCTATCATCTTTCCTTATGCACACAGAGCCCAGAGTGGAACATCACTTGCTCCGGGTCACATAGGAGGCACATGACAGCCAGGATCTGAAGTCAGGTCCAGGCTGCCACTGCCATACTGTGTCTACTCCCTGGGCTGCCCCCAGTGAAGGGTTCCTCCCATCCAACCTCGAGTCTGGCCTCAAATACTTCACTCCATGGTGGCTGGCAGGATGCAGTGGCTCATGCCTGTAATCTCAACACTTTAGGAGGCCAAGGTGGGCGGATCGCTTGAGGCCAGGAGTTGAGACTAGCCTGGACAACATAACAAGACCTCATCTCTATATTTAAAAACAAAACAGGCTGGGCTCAGTGGCTCAGTCTGTAATTCCAGTACTTTGGGAGGCCGAGGTGAGTAGACTGCCTGAGCCTGCGGGTTCGAGACCAGCCCAGGTAACTTGGCGAGATCTTGTCTCTACAATAAATTTAAAAAAATTAGCCGGGAGTGGTAGGACGCGCCTGTAGTCCCGTCCACTTGAAAGGCTGAGGCAGACAGATCGCCAGAGCCCAGCAGGTTGACACTGGGGTGGCCGTGAGAGTGCCACTGCATTCCAGCCTGGGCGACAGAGTGAGACTCCACCTCAAAAAGAATAGAGATAAAAAATAAAAAGTAATAAAGCAAAACCCAAAACCATAGCAGCTGAGGCCTAGCAGGGAGAAAAGAGTGTTCTGAGTGTCCACGCATCCTGGGGCTACCTAGGCCTGCATTCGGGCAGAGGGTCACTGGGGGTGGTGAGGTCACCTGGCCCTGGGCTCCCTGGTTTCCTCTAGCATGCCATGTGACTCAAGGATGTGAACTGGGGGCTCACCCACCCCGGCCGGGGAGTTCTCCAATCAGAGCACAAGGGGTCCTCAATGCCTCAGTCCCACACCAACAGCTGCCAGGCCGCCACTCTGCCCTTCTGGGTACTGGCTGGAACCCAGGCCTGATTTCAGTGTGTGGGTGGCTTGAGGGACAACCTATCAGGCCCATTCTCTGTGTATGGAAAGCCGGGGTGCATGAGGCTTTCAACCGCAGTCAACGCTCTTGAACTGGCTCCGGAAACCTCCCTCCAGCCTTACGGGACCCACTGGCAGAAGCAGGGCCACATCCAGGTCCAGGTGCTGTCTGGGGAGTCCTCAGACTTTGCCTGGCTGTGGATGCTGTGTGGCCTTGGGCCACCCCTCACCCTCTCTGGGCCTTCACCTCCTCATCTCTAAGAGGCTGATCCCCAGTTACAGAGGTATAAATAGCAGTGTCTATTTGGGAAAAGTCACACAGGCGGCCGGCAGCCAGCCTTCCTTCCTCTGGCCGGCTCCCTGCCAGGTTCCTCACGCTGCCGAGACACACCCGATCCCCAAGCCACCAGTCCTTCCCCCACGGGCCCCTCCTCAGGCTAATTATAGCGGGACCACGAGAGGCCAGAGCACACAGTAGGTGACTCCAGTCGGAAGCCACCTCTCACCTCCAGCTTGTGAAGCTGCCCACCACCCACGGGGAGACCTTCGTGCCTCCCTTTGCCACACCTGGGCTCTGGCCGTGGAGTCGCTGGATGGGGACCCACGGGATGACGCGGATGACCCCACACTCAACTGGGCCTGCCTCTCTCCCTGCAGAAATGCTGGCTGTGAGGGCAGCAGGGAGCCGGGCCTCACCTCCCCACCACGGTCCAAGCTGAGGCTCGTGAAATGCGGTGACCTTCCCCCAGGGCCCCTTAAAGCACTTGTCAGCCCACAAAGGGTCTCAGCGTTCTTCAAGTCAATGCTCTCGAGCTGGCTCTGGAAACCTCCCTCCAACCTCACCCCCACCTCCTGAAGACTCTCCACCCTGCCCCGTGCTCTACCTCCCCAGCTCTGACCAGGCCCTGCCCTCCACTCTCAGGACATCCCTCACGGGCCTCTAGGGAGCAGCTCCGAGGCTCCTCCCAGATGCCGTCCTGGCCCAGGGGGGTTGGTGTCCCCTCACATACCCACACACCCATAGAGGCTGTCTGCCACAGTGCCAGTACCCCAACGGGCATCTGTCTCTCTCCACGAGCTCGTGAGGGCTTTGAGGATGGGCCACCACGTCTGTTTCCTCTACCACACAGGGCCCGACGCACACGGGTGTCCACGGCCACAGTAAGAGCAAGTCTGGATTCAGTCCTGTCTAGGTCTATATGGCTGGATAAACACCTGTCTACAGGGAGCCAAGGGGCATTGGGTCTAGCAGGGAGGTTTGTGAGTGGCTCTGAGATCCCCCCAAGTCCCAAGAAACACTGCCTGACCCCACTGAGGTACCTTCTGTGACTCTCACTCATTCTGTTTGGTGGGGGGAATCATCCTCTCCTTCCCATCCCCCAGCAAAGACACAGAGGGCAGGGGTTGGGGAACGGGCTGAGGGACAGGCTGGTGCCACCCTCCCTTACTGGGTGCCCCCTCTTCTTCCACCTTTTCCTGGCCCCCAGGATCTTCCTGCTCCCAGGGAGACTCCCAGGATGGAGAGATGACAGTGTGCAGTGACGCTGGGGAGATGAAGTTCTCCTCCCACAAGCACCCAGTGATCGGCCGGGCACGTATCTCTCTGCCTCCGTCCGGCCCTTCCCCGTGCCAAGGTTCTGGAAGGCCCCAGCTGGCTCCGGCTCTCACCCCATCCTCCCACCCTCACCCCAGGCCCAGAGCCAAGTTCCTCAGGCATTCCAGCAGCTGAATGAAGACAGAGACTCGTCTGTCTGTCTGTCACAGAGCCAGGGTGCTGGGTGGCACCAGGGTGGGGCAGTGGGGAACAAGCCCTGGGGGTGCTGCAGGGACAGCCGTGATTCTGATTTGCCAACCATTCTCTCACCCCCTGTGCCCTCAGAGTGCTTGCCACCTCCCAGGTTCAAGTCCATACCATACACCACTGGGTGACAGTGAAAATCATCCCAATAAGCACCATGTAGCAAGCACTGTGCTGAACACGTTTCTCATTCCCTCCTCATGTCACACACGACGCAGCCCATTTTTGGAGGCTTAAGGGATAAGGTAACTTGAATGCCAACATGGACTGGATTCTAGGTTCTTAACCACCAAACTCAACTCCTCTCTGCTCCCCACCCCAGTAATCTCTCCTCCACTAGAGGCCAGCGTTCCTGTTCTTACCACCCTAGTGGACCTGGTCACAGCCCTGCCTAAACCCAACAGTGAGTGGACTTCTAGAAAAGCATGGCACATTTGGCAGACAGATTCATCCCTGCTCCCTTCCAAAGTCCACTACGATGACAGCTAAGGAACCAGCAAGGCATACAGCCACAGGGCAGAAGGGAAGGGTGACCCTGGCAAATGCAACAAGTCTACAGCGTTCTGGAAGCTGGGCAGCAGATGCTCCAGCAGTAGCCGACTTGGTAGAGTGATGAAAGTTGAGAGCCAGGAGCCTGCAGGGAGAAACTCCCCGAAGAGACTCTTGGAAAGGCTCAGGAATTGGGAGCATGGGGACCCTTGGAGGCCTGGAGCTGAAGACAGAGCCTTGGCTTCATATCGGCAAGAATTGATCAAACCCTAAACCCCCTCCCCAACCCTGCCTGGCCGGGCGACTGCCCCCTCCTGGCCCCAGAGAACAAAGAGTCACTCTCTGGAAAGGGGAAACCAGAAGGATCTGGTCCAGGAACACCAGACATAGACGAAGGCCCAAGGCAGAGAGACCTACAGAGGAGAGGGGACACGCAAATGTCTACACTATGAAGGGTGAGACACCCCAAGCCCCCTCCCCATTTGGATGCCAAAATGCCGCAGCCAGACTGATACTCTCCCAGGAAAAGACTAGAGGATTCCTTTCTGGGGAAACCGAGGGACTCAGAAAAGGGATCTCAGATATTTGAGGGTCTCGCAAAAAACAGCTCCACCCCAATCAGTCCCTGGGCAGTGACTCGGGAAAGTACTGCCCCAGTCCACAGACCTCCCAATAGCATCTCCACGCTCCTTCCCATATGTGAAATATGGCCAAGACATCTCGAGAAAACCTTTAACATGAAAGATTTTTTTAAAATAATAATCAGCAGCAGCAGTAGCACACACTCTTGCTCCTGTCCTGCCTGTTGTGCCCTTCACAACCTATCTTCTCTTTAATAAATCTACTTTTCTTAACTCAAAATAATAATAACAATAATAACCTAAAGGAAAGAAAAATATTTCAGGGGCAGAAGAAAACATAAAATCCACATATATAATAACCTTAGAAAGATAAGAGAAGATTCTGTACCCATTAAACAAGAACAGGATAATGAAAAGGAGTACAGGTTGAGCATCTCAAATCTGAAAATCCAAAATCCAAAATGTTCCAAGATCCAAAACTTTTTGAGTTGCCAACATGATGCTCAGAGCAAATGCTCATTGGAGCATTTCAGATTTCAGACTTTTAGATCAGGGATGCTGAACCAATAAGTATGATGCAAATATTCCAAAGTCCAAAAAAATCCAAAACACTTCTGGCCGCAATCATTTTGGATATGGAATACCCAACCTGGATTTAGTGAATAAGAAAGTCCATGAGATTAAAAGTACAACAGAAAAAAAATTAAAAATTTGATAGTAAGGGTTGTAAGGTAAAGATAAATCAGATGACCCTCAGAAAATAGAAATAAAAAAGAGTAAAAATTTTAAAGGAAGAGAATTGCTGAATCTCAAGGTTCCAGAAACAGAAAATAGAAGTGAGAAAATTATCAAATAAATACTACAAGAACATTTCCAAGAAATGAAAGACATGCACTCTAGATCAAAAGGGTCCAGTGAGAGTCCCCCACATTAAAACAGACTGAGGCACAGAATTGTGAAATTTTAAATCACCAGCAACAAAAGAGAGAGAATTCGGATAGCTCCCAGACTTTTTAAGCTGGGCATGGAGGCACACACCTGTAGTCCCAGTTACTCAGGAAGCCTGAGGTTTGAGCCCAGGAGTTCATGTCCAGCCTGGGCAACACAGTGAGATACTACCTCTAAAAAAGAAAAAAAAGCCCTCAGACTGTTTAAAAGGTCTTACTCAAAGAATGTGTGTCAAATGTAGAAAGAAAGCAACAAGCAAGAGGCTCTAATCCTTTCTTACTCGTGTTACAACCCTGTTTTAACCAACCCACTATGCTGAAGATGATGACACAGAGGGAAGGGAAAGATAGGGCCCCCATAGGTCCTTTTTCTTTTCTTTTCTCTTTTTTTTTTTTGTTGGAGACAGGACCTTACTCTGCCACTAGGCTGGAGTGCAGAGGTGTGATCATAGCTCCTCCAACCTTGAACTCCTGGGCTCAAGTCATCCTCCCACCTCAGCCTCCCAAATAGCTGGGACTACAGATGTGCCACTATGCCCAGGTAATTTTTAATTTTAATTTTTAAAGATGGGGTCTTGCTATGTTGCCCAGGCTGGTCTCAAACTCCTGGCCTCAAGAGATCCTCCTACTTCTCCCTCCCAAAGTGCTGGGATGATGCACGTGAGCCACTGTGCCTGGCACCTTTCTCATCTTCCCTTCCTCATCAGTAAGTTGAAGGGCGAGCGTTGGTGGAATGTGTATGAATCAAGGAGTGAGATGAGATCCATCGAGTGAGCTCTGGGCGCTATTTCGACTGTCTGGCAAGTACCAGCTAGGAAAGATGAATTGTGTAATGTTGGCAATTCCAGAGATGAGTTAAGTACTCTTATACTTGCATGTAAAACCAGCACTGCACAAAACAAAGATGGACAGTAAGATGTAAGCTAATAATTCTCCTACTTAGAACAACATTAATTAGCAAATAAAAGACACCTTAATGGCTGGGCACGGTGGCCCACGCCTGTAATTCCAGCACTTTGGGAGGCAGACGCGAGAGGACTGTCTGAGTCCAGGAGTTAGAGACCAGCCTGGGGAACTTGGCGAGATCTCGTCTCGACAATAAATCAAAAAATTAGCCCGGTGTGGCAGCACGCGCCTGTAGTTCCAGCTTCTTGGAAGGCTGAGGCAGAAGGATCAACTGAGCCCAGCAGGTCGAGACTGCAGTGGCCATGAGCATGCCACTGCACTCCAGCCTGGGTGACAGAGTGAGACTCTGACTCAAAAAAAAAAAACCCCAAAAAACCCCATCACAAACTGAGAGAATGTGAAAGAAAGTTTTATCCTTTGGCTCCTCGCGGGTCCTCTTCCCTGCTCTTCCCCGGTCCGTGGGGCCGGCCCTGAGCAGCCGAGGCTCCCGCAGCCCTCACTCAGCATCCTGCTATTCCTGGACTGATTCCTCTTGCTATCCTGCACCTACATGTCTGCCAGCCTTTGCCCCTCTACTGCAAACACCGATCTGCTCCCCTCTGGACATCTGGGAGCTCTCGCTCCTACGTAGCTCAGCGGTCCCTTCCAGGACCTGCGGGGCCCCAGGCTGCATCTTTACCGGGTACTCCCACTCTGGCACCACAATGTCACCGTCTGCATCTCCCCCACCAGACCTGGATCCCGCGGGTGCCACAGAGGCGCTGGGGGCTGGGGGGACTTACTCGAGGAACCTGGTGATGTACTCGCGGCTGCAGCGGGACCAGATGAGGGGGACGCTGTTGTACAGGAGCTGTGGAGACATGATGAAAGGCTGTTTCCCAACAGGCTCACAGTCATTGCCGCTTCCGTCATGCTGAATGCCAAAACTGCATGAGAGCACAGGCCCCAGGGGCAGATGAGTCGTGGGAGGCCACCAGCCTGCCCTGCCCCCAAGACCCACAAGGGTGGGGGTTGCAGTCCCAGTTCCCAGGGCTGGCCCTGCCACCCGATGGCCATAGCCTTGAGAAAGTCCCTTACCCTCTCTGAGCCTCAGTTTTCTTAGGGTAAAATGCAGGTGTGACAGCTAATATACCCTGCGTCCAGCCCTGTTTTGCCTGCCTCACTGGCCTCAGGAACAGTCTGACAGAGGCCCCCAATCCCAGGTCTTGTCCCAAGGCTGTGCACTTGAGTCAACGGATCTGAGCTGCAGCATCAGAGGGTTTTCAGGAAGGACCCAAGAAAAATTCCATTTCCTGAGCACCTACTATGTGCCAAGTATATTTGGAAACATTCTCTCACTCAGTCCTTACTACTCCGGAAAGGCTCAGAGAGTCTCAGGAACTAGCCAGGAGGTGACACAGCCAGGAGGTGGCAGAATGGCAGTAGAGTGTTCTTTCTACAACCACAAGCAGCCTCAAGGCCCTGCAGGCATGGTCATCCCCCAGGGGACCCAGATGTCTGAATGGAGAACCCCAATGCCTCTGACTCACAGAGCTCTCCAGGAGCCTGCCCTCATCAGCTTGCTGGACAATTTAAGATGCTGCCGTGTGCACCTGCCAAACAGCCCAGCACAGGCAGCCAGGGGCATGGGCTGAGTTTAGACAGGAGAGCCTCGGGTGGAGGTGATGGATGGAGGGAGCCTGGGGCACCACTGAGTCCAATCCCTCCGTCTACAGGATGCACACAGAGGCCCAGAGAGGGTAGGACACTAGCCTAGGGTCATAGAGGAAGCAGGAATAGGGACAAGGTAGGACTCAGGAGCAAAAGCTGCAGGCACTGATGGCAATGGGGAGGAACAGCCAGGCCTTCGATGACCGTACAGCCCATCCCAACACCCTTCAAATACGACTCCCAGCCAGGCACGGTAGCTCATGCCTGTAATCCCAGAACTTTGGGAGTCCGAGGCAAGAGGACCATGGGGTTGAGACCAGCCTGAGCAAAATGGCGAGATCTCATCTCTACAATAAATCCAAAAATTAGCCAAGTGAGGTGGTACATTGCTTGCAGTCCCAGCTACTTGGAAGGTTGAGGCAGAAGGATTGTCTGAGCCCAGCAGGTCAAGGCTGTGGTGGCTATAAGCTGGCCACTGCACTCCAGCCTGGGCAACAGAGTGAGACACTGACTTAAAAAAATAATTGAGAAAAAGACTAACTCCAAGTCAGTCCCTGAGATGCCCAGGCAGGCCTCTCTCTGGCTCAACAGGGAAGCAGACTGGCTGTGAGTGGGGACATTACAGGGACAGCATGTGTCTAGACCACGTCAGGGCTCCCTCCCCAGACAGCTTTCTTTTCCCTGGTGTTTTGTGCCTGGTGCCCCAGGTTGGGAGGGAGAAGCTGGGCTCAAGTGTGGTGTAGAGGCAGGCATGATACCTGTGTCCAAGCTCGTGGGCCACAGTGAAAGCCAACGGCAGGCCTGTGTCCTCACTGATGCTGCAGCTGCGGTGTGGCTGACACATGCCCGACACATGAGCTAGGCCGAGGGTCTCACAGGGCCGGTTCATCGCTCCACACAGGTCCTTCCTGCACAGGCAGAAAGAAGCGGTCTTCAGGCTGACCCGGCCCCAGGCCAGGTCCACCATGCTGACGAAGCCGGGGCAGGACCTCTACCTACCCTGAGCAAGGAAGATGCCCCTCCCATCACCCCGTGACAGGAGGTCAACAGCACAAGGACCATTTGGAAGTCAGATGTCTCCATTCATACATGATCCAACAGACACCTGTGTGAGCCATGGGGCAGATTCCCGTACAGAACAATCTCAGTTACTATCCCAGCCAGGGTCTGGCAGAAGCTGCCGGGTGGCAGCTCACACCTGTAATCCCAGCACTTTGGGAGGCCGAGGCAGGAGGACTGCTGAGCCCAGGAGTCCAAGACCAGCCTGGGAAGCAAAGTGAGACCTCATCTTTGCAAAAATTCAAAAAATTAGCAGGATGTGGCAGCATGCTGCCTGTAGCCCCAGCTACTCGGGGGCTGAAGTGGAAGGATCGTCTGAGCTCAGGAGGTTGAGGCTCTGGTGAGCCATCACTGTACCACAGTACTCTAGCCTGGGTGACAGAGTGAAACTTTGACTGAAAAAAAAAGAAATGCTGCCTCTGAACAGGTCTGCAGTTGCGGGAGGGTTGGAGGAGGAATGTGGGAGCTGTAACTATAAACAGGTAACACGAGCTAGCCTTCTGACAGAACTACTCCATGTCTAGGCCACCGGCATAGACACACGAACTGAACACACACACACACACACACACACAACTAAGTATGCGCAGAACCAGGGAAAGCTGAGGATGTCTGGGGTTTCATCAGCATCAGTTTCCTGGTTGGGACATCGCACTACAGTCATGTAAGATGCTACCACTGGGGGAAGAGGATGAGGAGCATATGGTGCCTCTCTGTATTATTTCTGACAACATCATGAGAATCCACAGTTATTTCAAAATAAAAAGACAGGCCAGGTGCTTTGGGAGGCTGAGGTGGGAGGATCACTTGAGCTCAGAAGTTCGAGACCAGCCTCGCAAAACGCAAGACCCTATCTCTTCAAAAAATTTAAAAACTAGCTGGGTGTGATAGTGCACACCCAGCTGTAATCCCAGCTACTTGAGAGGTTGAGGCAGGAGGATTGCTTGAGCCCAGGAAGTTGAGGCTGCAGTGAGTTATGATCGTATCACTGCACTCCAGTCTGGGCAACAGAGCAAGACCCTGTCTCTAAACGTAAAAATAATTAATTTAAAATAAAATAAAAAGACCTCTTAAGGGCTGACAGAATCCAGCCTGGGGCCAAAGGTGTGCAAACTCTCCAAGATGGGGTCCCAAGGGCCAGGCTGTCACCCAACCAGGGCTTCTCCTGACTCTCCCCACCTCCAACCCTAGTCCAGCCAGCAGTACCTGGTGAGCAGTATGGCAGTATCATGGTGCAGCGGGTGGGCATCCCCCTTCATATTGATGTTTTTCTGCCACTTGCAGAAGCTCCTCAGGGTGTTGTCTGCGTGGTGTGTGATCTTCAGGTCCTCCTGGGGCAGAGAAAGTAGCCGTGCATGCTCCCCTGAGCTCCAAGAGGATCCAGCCCAATTCTCCCCCACATAAAGGCAGGAGGCTGAGACTGAGGGGAAGTGAGGGGACGAGCAGCCAGGCCTGTGGGCACCAGTCCAGCCTCCAGCGTGATCACCCCTCCTGCAGTGGCCCAAGACCTGAGAGGTCAGCCAGGGACCAGAAGGTGACAGAGGACACTGTCCAGGCCAAGGAGGACAAGTGCCCACCCATACAGGGTAGCTTGGGTGATGGGGCAGGAGGGTTCTGGTAGCTACTGGAGTGGGGGAGCGGGGAGGCCCAGCACGGGACCACACGACCTCTCACCTCCTCATCTTCCAGCAGGACCAGGCGCACGATGGTGATGTGGATGGGGTTCCCAATGCTGGGGTCATGAAACAGGCCAGCCACCTGTCCAGGACACGGGGGGGTCAGGCTGTCACCAGGATGTAGGACACGGGCAGCCAGGGCCCGTCCTCAACCCACATTCACACATGGGGATCCGCACAAGCCACACACATGGCAGCCCATGCATGTACACCAACCAGGGAGTGTCCCCCACCTGCACGCATTGCCCCCACCCAGCAAGGGCAGAATCCAGAGAGAACAAGGCCTCCCAGGGTCGTGTCCAGGCCCACAGTCTGTTCTGGGCACCAGTTTGGGATCTGTTTCCAAGTACCAACTCCACCCCCACCTGGCACAGCCAATGGCGGCTCAGACCTCCCAGTGCTGGCTTCTTGGCCCATCTCAGGGTCTTAGTCCTGCCAAGTGCCCTAGGCTGGGTCAGCCCGGCAGCCCCATTCTGTCCTGAGGATGCCAGGGCCAGCAAATCCTCCAATCAGGCACAAGACCTGAGTAGAGCTCAGAGGGCGGATGGGGCAGGCACGGTCAGAGGAGTCTCTCCGCTGCTCTGCTGTCCCAGCCTCCCTGGGGCTGACAACCATGGGACCAGGGGTAGATATGCATGTCTGTCAGAGGCCCCCATGGTACAGGGGGCTCCCTACTGAGCCCCAGGAGAGAGGGCCATCCTGAAAGACGGCAGCTGTGCCAAGGCGCAGGGACAAGGCAGTAAAGCCATCTCCTCTTTTAAAACTCCCTTGGAACAAAAAAGAGCACAGCCCACGAGTGGGGAGAGCTGTCAGGTTCCCCACAGGCAGAGATGGCAGGCCAGGCAGTGGTGGCACCGAGCAGAACATCAAGAAAAGTGATATTAAGGTAGGAAGGCATGAAGTCCACTCTGTGAAGAGGGCACGAAGTCCCCGAGAATAAGATGAACAACACTCAGAACTCAGGGCCAGAAACGGGGAAGACAGGCAGTGGTGTGACATGCCACCGTCATCTCCAGGCACAGGCTGGATGCCTGGGAGCCCCATTACCACCTTCCTCCCCCACAATCCGCCAATTCTGCCTCCTTGTTTTGCCTGAATCTCTCTTCTTTCCATCTCCAACACACCGCCCAGTCCAGACTGCCATGACCTCTAATCTGGTCAGCTGCTGAGGATTTCTACAAGTGTCCCCATACTCAGTGGGGGCCACCTGCAGCCTAGTGGCTCAGTCATCTTTTTTTTTTTATTTGGTTTGATTTGAAGAGACTGAGTCTCGCTGTGTTGCCCAGGTGTGTTGCCCAGGCTGGAGTGCAGTGGTGTGAACATGGCTTATTGCAGCCTTGAATTCCTGGGCTCAAGTGAACCTCCAGCCTCTGCCTCCCCACTCTCTGGGTCTACAGATACCCGCCACCACACTCTGCTAATTCTTTTCATTTTTTGTACAGAGTCTTGCTATGTTGTCCAGGCTAGTCTCAAACTCCTGAACTCAAACGATCCGCCCACCTTGGCCTCCCAAAGCGCTGAGATGACAGGTGTGAGCAACAGAGCTCAGATGTCACCTGGGCAAACCCAGTAGCAATATGCCCTTGCTTAAAGCAGTAAGTGGGTCTTCATCAACCACAGGGTGAGGACCGAAGCCCCTAGCCCAGTCAACAGGCTGTTTTGGTCTGACCCCTGTCTGCCTCTCTGGCCTCCCCACCCCCTCTCGTTTTCTGGCTCCAGTCACTCTTTCTCTCAGACTCCTATGATTCCTCCTAACACAGACACTTTGCAGACACTGTGCCTTCAACCTGGAACACCTTTCCACCTATCCTCGCCAAATATCTCCCATCCTCTCTCCAGCTCTCAACCCTTCATCACGTCCTCTGGAGAGCCTGTATTCTATCCAACACTTCCAAAACACCCCATGGACTTGTCCTTCCCAGCACCTCCCTTCACAGTCATCAAGGTCTGTCTGTGTCCCTTGCCTGACCACAAGCCCCATGAGGACTGGGGCCGTGTCTGTGTGGACTCCCTCTCACAGCCCCACTGACCCACTGATTGCCCAGCACATGATGGGTACTCAAGGAATATTTGTCAAATGAACGAATGGGTCTTAGACACCTGCTCAGTACTTCCAATGCATTATCTCATTTAAAAGAAAAGTGGAGCTGGGCGCAGTGGCTCATGCCTATAATCCCAGCACTCTGGGAGGCTGAGGTGAGAGGACTGCCTGAGACCGTGGGTTCGAGACCAGCCTGGGCAACTTGTGAGCCCTCATCTCTACAATAAATCAAAAAATTAGCCAGGTGTGGTGGCACATGTAGTTTCAGCTACTTGGAAGGCTAAGGCGGAAGGATCACCTAAGCACAGCAAGTCAAGGCTGCTGTGGTTGGGAACATGCCACTGCCCTCCAGCCTGGGTGACACAGTGAGACTCCAACTCAAAAAAAAGAAAGAAAAGAAAAGAAATGAAAAGTGGAAAATGAAAAAAGGGCCCTGGAGAAAATCAAAATAACAAGTCTTGGCTAGGCATGGTGAGTCACACCTATAATCCCAGCACTTCAGGAGGCCAAAGCAGGAGGATCGCTTGGGGCCAGGAGTTCAGGACCAACTTGGGCAACGCAGCAAGACCCTGTCTCTAAACATTAATTTTTTTAAAAGATCAAGTCTTTCCCAAATTACAGATGGGTAAATGTGGTATCAGGCAAGCGGCTCTCAAGGTTGAAAGCTGACCTACACTATATCCTGAGGCAGGGTTGGGACAGTTAGTGCCACACAAAGCCTCCCTTCCCCCAAAGCATGTACAACCTTCTGGCCATCTCCCAGGAAATACGGAGGCTAAAGAGGCACTGGGAGACACTGGAGGGATTCAGGCGCTCAACTGGCTGATCAACCCAGCCAAGGAGTGTCAGGTGATGGCCCGAGGTCGGTGTGGGGTGCTCCAACTGGACAAAGGGCCCCCAGGGAAGCCGAGCCCTGTTCTGCTGCAAGCCTGGACAGTAAGCCAGGGGTGGGCTGTGCTTGTGACAGTAAGATCTGGCAGTTACAGGTGACTACAAGCTCCCAGTGAGCAGACAGTGTGACAAAGCCCCTCAACAATGGCGTTAGGGCTGGGTGTGGTGGTTTACATCTAGAATCCCAGTACTTTGGGAGGCTGAAGTAGGAGGATCACTTAAGCCCAGGAGTTGGTGATTGTAACACTGTACTTCAGCCTTAGCAACAGACCTCAACTCAAAAAGGGGGGAACTGTGACCTGAGAGAAAAAGAACAAAATTGGGAGTGAAAATAGGGTGGAGGGGGGCCTGTCTTGCTATGCTTGGGGCAGACCCCCTCTAAGCTTCAGGACTCAGAACTGGGTCTGGCATGGCCCTGGTAAGTTGGGGCCTGTAGAAGGCCCCAGTAAAGGGAAATGACACTGTCCAGAAGGCAGCTGTGGGGCTGAAGGTCAGACGTGCAGCAGTCACAACAGAAGCAGTGAACTTGATCAAGCCTAACACCTACAGTCCCTGTGTTGGGAGCTTAACACGCATTATCTCACTTAATCTTACTTCTAAGGGTGGCATAATTATCCCCATTTTATAAATGCACCAACTGAGGCTCAATGGGAGGGTTCAACTGGGATCAGAACCCAGGTCTGACTGCTCCAAAGCTCTTGCTCTTAATTCTTTTTTTTTTTTTTTTTTTTTTTTTTGAGTTGGAGTCTCATTCCTTTGCCCAGCGTCGACCTTCTGGGCTCCAGCAATCCTTCCGCCTCAGCCTTCTGAGTAGCCAGAACTACAGACACACGCTACCCCGCCTGGCTATTTTTAATTTTATTGTAGAGACGAGGTCTTGCCAAGTTGCCCGAGCTGGTCTCAAACCTGCAGGCTCAGGCAATTCACTTGCTTCAGCCTCCCAAAGTGCTGGGATTACAGGCTGAGCCACTGAGCCTGGCCTCTTAAGTCTTAAATTTGAAAAATGCTGCCTACCTTTTCTCTAAGGGACTCTCAATGCATATGAGTTTTGAAGGCTCTGAGAAGTCCTGCAGTAAAGAAGTCTGTTTTACTTCTTTTAACCCTGTGTAGCCAAATTTATTCAATAGTATCATCTTTTTTTCACAGAATACTATTTGTCCTTTGGAACAAGCAGCCCATGGAATATTCTTTGGGCAATGCTATAATGAGACAATTTCCCAAGTAGAGTAAGTCCCTACATATGAATGAGTTCCATTCCAAGGTCGCATTAGTAAATTCAATTTGATCATAAGTCCAACAAAGTTAGCCTAGGTACCCAACTAATACAATCAACTTATACATCACCACTTCTTTAACGCTTTCTTCCAGACATCCTGGACTTGAAATAAAGATACTGTACTAAGACAGTCCTGTACAGTAAAGTACACAAAAGCACAATCACTTGTAGAGGGTGCACACACTTGACAATGTATGCCAGACATACGAACTAACTTACATGATTGAACGTGCAACTGCATGTCCCCAGCTTTAAAAGTTCACAGCTTGAAGTTTCGTACATATGTATGTAGGGGACTTATTGTACAGGATCACGTTCTTACCCTTCCACCACCTTATCCCAGGTGCAGAAATTGTGCTCAGCAAGTCGGTGTTAAATGAACATTCCCCCAGGGGGGCAGGGGGAGAGTTCTCCCCGTCCCACCTCTCTGTTCCCCATCCTTCTGGCTCCCCTGGCCACCTCAGCTACACAGTTGCCCCTCTCTGGGGCACCCTGGTGTCTAACATTGCCGGACTCAGACACCCCTACCCTGTCCTGACCAGTGCTGGACTGCCAGCCCGGGAAAGCCTTATAGATCTGGGCAGGGGAGTGAGAGGCAGCCCTCCCTCTCCCCAAGACAGAGCTCACCATGTGAACTCAAGGGTACTAGGGAGATGGGAAGGGGCCAGGCCCTGGGACAAAATACCTGACCCTCGTCCTCAACCACCCAGCCCTGGGGGGGTCGCCTCAGAGCCTAGGAGCCAGGCCTTGTCCCACCCCAGCCCAGATGCCGGGTCCTGCTGTCCAGCAACAGCCCCCCTGAAGCCTTTCGTGGTTCCCTGCCCTGGGCAGATGAGGCTCAACAGAGAGGCTTGTGCTGGGCCCTCAAGGCCTCGAATGCAAGGCAGAAGGCTGTGACTTTCAATCTCATATGGAGCAGGGAGCCCACAAGGGTGGCCCAGCCAGGGACAAACTGGCCAAGAGCTGCACTCACTGATGAGGACTGAATAGAGGGATATACAGGCCAGCCTGTGGAGGAACAGCCATGGCTGCAGCCCCTTCCTCTCTTTGTGCCCTGGGCCTCACAGCTATAAATTGGGAGGCAGACACCGGATGATCTCAGAGGGGGCCTCCTTCAGGGGTGCAGGGGGTGAGGGGCTGGCACGGGGCAAGCAGCACAGGCCCCTGGCTCTGGAGCCCCCTGCTACACAATGCATGCCCTCACTCTGCTCCCAACCACCCAGTCCCGGAGAGACCAGGATGTGTGGTGGTCCGCTAAGAATTCCAGGGCAGATCTTTTCCCCAGGGGGCTGTAGGGAGCAGCCTGGCAGTCCAAGGCCTCCCATCAGCCCACCCAGGCAGGCTTGGGGAGTGCATATCTATTTCTGCAGGCGGCTCCAGGAAGCACCAGCTCCCATCAGCCACGGTGCCCTGAGTGGTACTTGGGAGGCCTGGGTGCCCACCCAGCTCTGCCCTTCCTCGCTGCATAACCTGGCAAGTCACTCACCCTCCCAGGGCCTTTGTTATCTCCACTGTCATGGGGGTCAAGGGCAGCTGGCCAAGCCCACACGGTACCGCCATCCTCCCCAGGTCACAGACGAGCACACTCAGGCTCAGGCAGGAAGGTGGCCTGCCCAAGGTCCCAGCCAGCAGACGCTGGCTGAGCGGGTCCTTCTAAGGTATGTGCATGTCTCAGGTAGGGGCTGGTCTGACGGGCATCTGTGTGTCCCAGCATCCAGCATGGGACCTGACACAGAGGAAGGCGGTATTTGTTCAGAGCAGTATGAACAAACCATCTAGGCTACGAGCTCCCCAGGGTCATGGTTGCCTCGGCCACCCCCTCCCACTCCCCACGCCAAGCGCCAGCTGGGTCAGTGAGGGGTGTGACACCCTGTGGTATCTCCACAGCAGCCCTGTGCCCAGGCTCTCTCCTCATAACTCCCTGCCATGCCCCCAGGCCTCCCAGACTCTGTAGCTTAGAGACCCTTCTTCCTGCCTGGGGCCTGGCTCTGGGTCTGGGGTCCAACCTTCCTCCTCTGCACCCACTCCTTGCCCTCCCACCCCCAACACCATCTCCGCCATCCCTGGCCACCACCTCACCATGTTCATGATGGTCAGCACGTAGCTCTCCACGTGTGGCTGCCCATGGTACTCCACCATCTTGGCATCAGCTACCACCAATGTCTCCACCCACCGCTCTCTGCTGATCGAGCGCGGGTACAGACGCCTCCGCCGCTGCCGCTGCCACTGCTGCCGCTGCTCCCAGTGCTCCCGCCGAGACTCCAGCTCTGCGGATGCTGTGGGCCCCAGATGGGTGGCGTCAGCCATCAGTGGACTGGCCTAGGGCACAAGTCTCCAGGGCTTATCCTCAGCGAGCCCCTTTGGGTTAGTGGGGACCGTGCTGGGATCCCAGCAGAGGGCCTGGATTCCCCTTCTGACTCTGCCCCATTCTTGTGCTGTATGGCCCTGGACCAGTCACATTCCTTCTCTGATCCTGAGATTCCCTGACTATAAGTAGTAATAAGCTGATCTGTCTCCTAGGTGATGGGGGGATGGGAGGATGAAATGGTGGATATAAACAAAATAAAGTACCATGTCCATGGGGGTAGCTCTTGGGCCTGGCTGAGCTGGCAAGGGGGCCCCTATCTCACTGTGTTGCTCCCTTCCCCACTGGAGGGTTAGGCACCCCAGCCAGCAGACTCTATAATCTAACCTCCAGCCTGGGGAGGTTGACCAAGACCCCGCCTGGCCAACCCCACTGGGCCTGCTCCTCTGCCCCAGGCTGCCCTCAGATCAGAAGAGGAAGCACATTCTGAAGCTGGAGAAACTGAGGCCTGGGCTTCACAGCTAGAAACTGGGGGGCAGACACAAGATGAACTTGAAGCTCGGGAAACTGAGGCCAAGAAGCATGCCTCTGCAGATATCTGCTCCAGCAAACAGAGCCCCTGGGCAATTTGAGACTGGAGTGCCAGGCAAGTAGTCCCCAGACCCCAGGAGCCCTCAGTGGGCAGCTCCTTAGCTGGACTGGCTGGTACTATTGCCGCTCTGCAGAGGAGGCCCTGGGTACTTTGCTGCAGGTCCCAGGAATAGAAGCCAGTTATTCTGGGATGAGAGGCGCATGCAAAGGGGAGGGAGGCTCCTGGTTAGTGGCCCTGCCGGAGCTGGGCACAACTCCACCCAGCCTGGGCACTCAAAGGAGAAAGGCTAGCAGAGCCAGAGGGGCCCGAGGCAATGGGGGGCGGGGAGCAGAGGGAGATGGAGCCCCGAGGTGGGGAGGCAGGCGAGAGGGGAGCGAGGGAGGACTACCCCTTAGGATTGGCTGGGGTAGGCCTGATGGGCAGAGAACATGGGCTTGTGACACAGGTGCAGGCGCAAGTATGGTGATGTGTCTGTGTACTGCTGGTCCAAGGGACGCTGGGCATGAGGCTGCTGAGAGGGGCTTCTAGAAAGGGCCCTTCCTCTCTGTGGCTCACGCCTGCAGTCCCAGCACTTTGGAAGGCCGAGGTGGGAAGACTGCTTGAACCCAGGAGTTCGAAACCAGCTTGGGCAACACTGCCAGACCCTTGTACATCAAGGGAGACGCATGAGCTCTAGAGATGAGAATGCTTTGCTTGGGGGCTGGGGGGTGGGGGTATGTTCTTTGGCCTGAGGTGTGGGCTGCCCTGTCATTAGGCCCCAGGCCGCCCTGGGCTGTCTCAGCCCTGGTTTTTGCCTGAGGGATCCAAACCCAGGGCTTCCTGGAAATAGTGGACAACTCAGAGGGCTCACCGCCCCCATCCTCTCGCACCCCCACCTGCCAGAGCTGGGGGACAGGAGCAGAAGGGGCCCTGTCCTGCTGGAGCGGGAGCTGCTCTGACCAGCACACGATGGGGGTAGGGGAGACTTGGGGCCCGAGCAGGAGCAGCATCACCTTCCAGCCAGCCACAGCCAGAAGGCCTGCTTTTCCGGGAGCTTTGATCCAGGCAGAAGGGCCAAGGGGGCTCCTTACCACCCCCTGAAGAATGGTTCAAGGGAAGGGTTGCCTGTTCTGGAGTCTGGGAAGGAACAATCGGAACTGATGCCCCCAAGGAAGAGGACCAGCTGCTTTCTGATTACAGACTTAGTCCAACCAATCTCTACAAAAAAATTTAAAAATTAGCTGGGTGTGGTGGCGCACGCCTGTAGTCCCACCTGAGGCTGAGGTGAAAGGTTCACTTGAGCCCAGGAGGCCAAGGCTGTGGTAAGCTGTGATCATGCCACTGTGCTTCAGCCTGAGTGCCAGAGCAAGACCCCGACTCAAAAAAAAGTGCCCTTTGTGTCCCCAGGCCCAACCCTCCCCTGAACTGGCAGCAGAGGACATACCTTGCACCCCACAGGTGCCTACAGTACTGGTGTTGCCCTGCGATGCTGGCCTCTCAGGGGCTTGGCGCTTGTACACCACGTGGGGCTGGGCATGGCCGGGCTGAGCCAGGGCGCCGTCCAGGGGCTCAATGAAGTAGTCCTCGCTGGAGAGCTGGAACATACCTTTCTGGGGAAGAAGCTTTGGGTCACAAGGGGAGGGCTGGCCTTTGGCTGCTCTTCTGCCCATCCCAGAGGCCGGCCCTGCCTGTAGAGCCCACACTGCCCCACCACCACCCTGGCTGACCTCAGACACTCCGTGCCTTCCTTCTGCTGGACCTTTGCTCACTCTGTACCCTCTGTCTGGAATGTCCTTCCCTGCCATTTTGCACAGCCAAAGGCTTCAAAGCAGAGCTCAGAGCCACCCCCAGGGAGGCTGCTCCACACACGCACCCAATTAGAAATGGGATGTGGTTCTGCATCCAAATGGACAAGACGGCATCTTCCACAGCCGTCCTTCGTCGGACAGCCCATGCCCAGGCCTCCAGGCTGCCCTGCGTCTCTCCCCTGCATGCCAGCCATTGCCAGCCACTGTGCCCCCTCCCGGCTGGCCAGAGCATCTGACCTGCTCTGCATCTCCCAGAGGCGATGAATCACTCCGAAAGCAGCTGCGCCCACACCCAGGCCATGGAGATGCCCACGGCCACCAGGACATCCTGTTCTCTGAGGCAAGGACTGGTCAGAGAGGGGGAGCTGGCAGGAGTATCTTTGGAGTCCACTGGCAATTGGAGTCCAGAGAAGGGAGGGGCTCAGGACTCCAGCAAGGGAGGTTTTCCCTTCCTCTGACTTCCCTTCATTGGCACAAATTCTGCCCTCATGGGCCACGCAGGGCCAGGGAGTCTTGAAGGCTGGAAAGCTCATCTGCTTTAGGATCTAGAGACCTGGATCTCAGTACAGACGCCACCACTGGATGACTAGGTGGCCTCGGGCAAGCTCCCCTCTGAACCTGTTTCCTCATCTGTGAAATGGGAACGAGGCCTGCTATGCACAGTTATTGCACAGGCTCAATGAGGTCAACTGTATACCAAGAGAGCCACACGGACTCCAGAAATGAAAATGTTTTGCTGGGAGGGATGTTCTTTGGCCTGAGGTGTGGGCTGCCCTGTCATTAGGCCCTGGGCTGCCCTGGGCCACCGCAGCCCTGGTTTTTGCCTGAGGGATCCAAACCCAGGACCTCCTAGAAATAATGGACAGCTGAGAATGAGCTCACAGCCCCCATCGTCTCCCAAGCCCGCCTGCCAGACCTGGGGGGCAGGGTGGTCACCTGGCCAGGAGCAGAAAGGGCCCTGACCTGCTGGAGCAGAAGCTACTCTGACCAGCACACGATGGGGGAGCCAGCATCACCTTCCAGCCAGCCACAGCCGGAAGGCCTGTTTTCTAGGAACTCTGATCCAGGCAGAGGGGCCAAGGGGGCTCCTTACCACACCCTGCAGAAAGGCTCAAGGGAAGGGATGCCTGTTCTGGAGAAGACCAGCCTAAAGGGGTCTGGGAAGGAACAATCGGAACTGATGCCCCAAGGAAGAGAAGCCAACAGCTTTCTGATTACAGTACTTAGTCTAACCAAACAGTGGAGGTGGTCAAGTGTGGTCTCCGTCCAACCAAACAGTGGTGGTGGTCAAGTAGGTCTCCGGACCTGCGACTTCAGTTCTACCAGGGAAATTTTCAGAAATGCAAGTGTTTGGTCACCAGTCCAGGCCTACCCTGTCAAAAATTCTGTTTTACCAAGACCTGTAGGTGATTCTGGTTCATGGTAAACTTTTTTTTTTTTTTAGAGTCGGGGTCTTGCTATGTTGGGAGGGCTGGAATGCAGTGGTGTAACCATGGGTCACTGCAGCCTTGAACTCTTGGGCTCAAGAGATCCTCCTGCATCCGCCTCTCAAGTAGCTGGGACTGCAGGCATGTGCCACCACAGCCAGCTTTCATGTTAAACTTTGAGAACTGTCCTAGAGAATAAGGAGGGCTGCACTGTCACCCCTATGTTATGGGGGTGAATATCGAAACTGACAGACCATTCACCAAAGCCACCAGGCAAGAGCATGGCAAGTGAGTGTCCACCCCACCCCTACAAGCACTCACCAGGCCATCGCAGGCACTGATGGCCGCCAGGCCGCCCTCAAGCTCAGGGTCTTGCACCTCACCAAGCAGGTGGCAGGCAGGGGTGCTGGCTCGGATGTGCATCCGGCCCAGACTGCCAAGCCGCCGCGTCTCACTCAAGAAGCCAGGCGCCAGCAGGTGCGGGTTGGTGGTCAGGTTGAAGCGCAGCTCACGCCCGCGGTACTGCAGCTGGTAGAAGGTGGGTGTGTCGTGGTGCAGGGACACATCCCGCTTGCGCAGTACACGGGGCCACAGTTCGTAGGACAGGAAGGAGCCCCCCGCATCCACACGCACTGGGTGCACAACGTCCAGTGCCGCCCGGTCCTTGGCTGCACGTCCTGTAGGGAAACAACCATGAGCAGCGCCTACCTCCAGGGAAGACGGGGCCTTGGCTGGTCACCAGGGACCTCAGGGGGAGCAGCCAAGAGACTGTGGCTGGGGTCTGATTGCCTGGACTCAAATCTTTGCTGTGCAATCCACTAGCTCTGCTTTTTCATTTTTCCGTGCCTCAGTTTCCCCATCTGGATTATTGCAGTAACTTAACAGATTTTTTTTTTTTTTTTTTTGAGTTGGAGTATCACTCTGTCACCCAGACTGGAGTGCAGCGGCCACTCCCAGCCACTGCAGCCTCGACCTGCTGGGCTCCGGCGATCCTTCCGCCTCAGTCTTCAAAGTAGCTGGAACTACAGGCACGTGCTACCACGCCTGGCTGATTTTTGATTTATTGTAGAGATGAGGTCTCGCCAAGTTGCCCAGGCGGGTCTCGAACCCACGGGCTCAGGCAATCCACTCACCTCAGCCTCCCAAGGCGTGGGATTACAGGCTGAGCCACCGAGCCCGGTAACTTAACAGATCTTAATAGCTGCCCATCTCAGGTGCCCCTCCCCTAGTCTGTTTTCTTTTTTATTTGTTAAAGTTTTTAAATTTTTTTTAGAGACAGGGTCTCACTCTGTAGCCCAGGCTGGAATGCAGTGGTGCCATCATAGCTCACTGAAGCCTAACCTCCAGGGCTCAAGCTATCCTCTAGCCCCAGCCTCCCAAGTAGCAGTGACTACAGGCATGCACCACCACACCTTGCTAATTTTTTAACTTTTTAGAGATGGGGTCTTGCTATGTTGCCTAAGGTAGGAACCCCTGGCCTCAAACGATCCTCCCACCTCAGCCTCCCAAAGTGCTGAGATTACAAGTATGAGCCACTGTGCTGGGCCCTAGTCTATTTTCAATACAGCAATCAGAAGGATTCATTCAAAACTGGTGGGATCATGGTCTTACGCTGTTCAAAATCCTGCAGTGGCTCCCATCTCTCTCATGGCAAAATACAAAGTTCTGGCAATGGTCAATGAGGCCCAGATAAGGTGGCCTCTCCAATCTCATTTCCAACGATACCTCCTTATTTCCCTCTGCTCAGCCCCCAGGTCTCCTTGCAGTCCCAAAACATATCAGACAGGCTTCTGCTTCAGGATTTTGCATTGCTATTCCCTGCACCTAGAACATTCTTCCCTCAGTTTTTCACGTGGCTAAACCACTTGCCTCTGTCAAGTCCTTGCTCCAATGTCTCCTTCTCAGTGAGGCCACCTCTGACAACTTTTATTTTCAAATTGCAACTCCCCGGCTCTCTGGAACTGGAACACCTTCTCTCAGTTTTCCATGTGGCTAAACCACTCACCTCCATCAAGTCCTTGCTCCGATGTCTCCTCAGTGAGGCTGCCTCTATTTTATTTTCAAATTGCAACTCGTTGGCTCTCGTGAGCTCTCTTCCCTGCTTTATTTTTTCCAATAGTACTTCTGACATATCGTGTCATTTAACATTTTCATTTTTTCTATTTGCCCGTTTTCTCCCTCCCTTCCCAATGTAAAGTCTGGGAGGGCAGGGGTCTTTATACTCTGTTGAAAATTTAAGTGTCAGAAATAGTCCTTCTTTGGTATTTCGTGGTGGAATCCGTAAAATAGGGCTACTCACAGAACATCCACTCTTGAAGCTGTTGTGAGGATTGAATGAACTGAGCTACCCCGCACAGCAGTGCGCGGCCCACTGACTAAAACATGATGGCAATCATGATTGCTATGATTATTATTCGCCTAGTGGATTTCTTTTTCTTTTGAGTCAGGGTCTCACTCAGTCACCCAGGCTGGAGTGCTGTGGCAGGATCACTGCTCACTGCAGCCTCAACCTCCTAGGCTCAGGCTATCCTTCTGCGTCAGTCTCCCAGGTAACTGGGACTACTAGCATGCACCACCACATCCAGCTAATTTTTAAATTTTTTTCATAGACACCAGGTCTTACTATGTTGCCCAGGCTATTCTTGAACTCCTGGGTTCAAGTGTTCTTCCCATCTCGGCCTCCCAGAGTGCTAGGACTATAGGTATGAGGTGGCCTGGTGGGTTTTAAAGAGTATACTCTCAGATGCCTGAGGGTTCTGCAAGCTCTCCAGGCCTCTTGGGATGGGGAGATAGAAGACCACCCACGTGGAGTTCCCTGGCCCTTTACTGCCACCACTTCAGCAGAGTGGCGCTGGCTTCCATCTTTTACAGTTGAAGAAGTTTCCAGGGACAGAAAACATTTGCAGACCTCTGCTCAGGCCCTTGCAGTGTGAAAAACCCTCTCCCTTCCCAAGACCCACACTCTCCCTGTTGTTCTGTTCTTTTAGATTCCCCAGTAAAAACTGGATTCTTAACCATTTTTGTCCTAGACTCCTTCTCAGAATAATGTGTTGATTTTTTTTTTTTTTTTTAGAGAGACAGGGTCTCCCTCTGTCACCCAGGCTGGAGTGCAGCAGCATGATCATAGCTCAAGGTAACCTTAAACTCCTGGGCCTTGACTCCTGTAACCATGATCCTCCCACCTCGGTCTCCTGAGTAGCTGATTCTACAAGCTCCCACCACCATACTCTGCTAATTTTTTTTTTTTTAATTTTCTGTAGAGATGGGGTCTTGTTATGTTGCCCAGACTGGTTTCGAACTCCTAGTCTGATCCTTCCACCTCAGCCTCCCAAAATGCTGGGATTATAGGCATGAGCCACTACGTCCAGCAGAATTTCTTAAAAACAATTTCCCAAGCCCCATCCCAGACTCACTAAATCAACATTTCCAAGAAACTAGGACTAGGATCTAGGAAGTTGTATTTTTTACCAAGAGCCTCAAGGAACTGTAGAAGTTAGGAAATCCTCCAGTGATGAACCTGCCTGATAATCAGTGATACTCGGAGAGTCCTTAAAAACTGATATACCCAAGACCCAGCCCAGAGTTGTTTTTTTTTGAGCTGTTATCTCACTCAGTCTCCCAGGCTGCAGTGCAGTGGCACGCTCACAGCCCAGGGTCGACCTGCAGGACTCAGGTGATCCTTCCACCTCAGCCATCCAAGTAGTTGGAACTACAGGCATGCGCTACCACACCCAGCAAATTTTTTAATTTATTGTAGAGATGAGGTCTTACCAAATTGCCCAAGCTCGTACCTCGGCCTCCCAAAGTGCTGGGATTCTAGGCTGATCCATCGAGCCCGGTCCTGGCCCAGAAATTCTGACTCTACAGACCCAGGGCTATGGGGCCCCAGAATCCATATTTTTCTAGACCTTGCCCAGGGATTCTGATGTGGCCGTTTCAGGGGCTGGTATTCAGAAACTCCTGGGCTGGATGACTTAAGGAGACCACTTCCCCTGACATCCTACTAAAGGAATATGGGACTACAACCCCACAACCACGGCCGGCAGATGTGTTATCAGTTTCATTGATTTTTGTTTTGTTTTGTTTTTTTGGTTTGTTTGGCTGACACAAATATTGAAAAAAGTTCTAATCAATTGCCAGCATTTAAGAATCCCATGATCGAGCCGGGCTCGGTGGCTCAGCCTGTAATCCCGCGCCTTGGGGAGCTGAGGTGAGTGGATTGCCTGAGCCCACGGGATCGAGACCCGCCTGGGCAACTTGGCTAGACCTCATCTCTACAATAAATCAAAAAATTAGCCAGGGTGTGGTAGCACGCGCCAACCCCAGCTACTTGGAAGAGTGAGGCAGAAGGCTCGCCGGAGCCCAGCAGGTCGAGGCTGCGGTGGCTGGGAGCGGCCACTGCACTCCAGTCTGGGCGACAGAGTGAGACTCCAACTCAAAATAAATAAATAAATAAAAATAAAAATAAAAGAATCCCATGATCTTGTACAAAAATCTTAATGTTCATCTGTCCATGTCCGGCCTACATTTCCACCTGGCAGAATAGGCTGGGGTCGAGCAGTGACCCCCTTAAGAGAAGGCTCATGTGCCTTTGTCATCAGTGGCCACCACCCCCTATTCATTCCCAACACTGTGGCTGCAGGTAGGCTGCCCTCTGACTTGTGTTTTCTTTCACTCAGGAAAGAACTGAGTCTTAACAATTTCCTAGGCCCCATCCTAGACTTACAAAATCAGCATTTCTAGGAAACTAGGACAAGGAACTAGGAAGCTGAGTTTTTACCAAGAGCCTCAAGGAACTGTGGAAGTTAGGAAATCCTGCACTGATGCACCTGCCTGATAAAAATGGAAAAACAAGCCCCGCTGGGCAGCCCACACCTGGATTACCATCTACTCAGAAGGCTGCAGTGAGCCATGATCGTGCCACTGCACTCTGGCCTGGGCGACAGAGACCCCCAACTCAAATTAAAAAAAAAAAAAAA